CGTGAGTTTCAAGCCACCGGGTCCGGGACATGAACCGCGGTCGACTACGTGGGAGTCCAGCGACATAGCCATTACGCTAACTGCTGGTTCCTTAATTGGTTCTTGATCAGAAGCTCTTAAGCTTATGTTGCTCAGGATGACCAGGAGAACTTATTAAAAATACAGATTGCTGGGCCCCACTTCCAGAGTCTGACTTAGGCTGGGTTGGGACTGAGATTTGCATTTCTTGCATAGTTCCTAGTTAACGCCCTTAAAGCACAGACCAACTGATATCCCAGTGGAATCCCAAGGCCTGGTAAGCAAGGAGTGACGTGCAGCTGTGCCCTTTTTGGTCACACACTAGATCAGTGTTTCTCACAGGTGTTTTGCACACTAAAACATGGTTATCACTTACGGGTTGTACAGAATATATTACTAGCACTAAACTAAGTTTGAGCATGTTCTACTTAAATCATATACACAAAATTAAGTAGATTCAAGGTAGTGTTTGTTAGTCTCTAATGGCATGCCCATTTCAGGGAGACAGAAAAGGGGATCTAGTCAGTGAGTGCACAGAGTAATGACTATGCCCGTGGTACTGTACAATGCATATTATTAATAAAGCCTGATGTATATTAATTCATTTAAGTATCAAACTAAATCCATGAGATAGATTATTAATACTCACATTTCATATAGGAGAAAGCTGAGGCCCAGAGAGGTTAAGTAATTTGCCCAGCATCTTAGAACTAGTAAATGATAGAGCTGGCTATCAAACCATGTAGTTTGGCCTCACAGCCAGTACTTTAAATCATGTGTTTTACCAAATGCTGTCTTCTGTTGTAGGAAGGGTAAGCTTGAGAAGTTTTCTTTGGCGTGCGTGCAGAACAGTAGGATTAGTGTTCAGGTAATTATTCCTTCCCTCCCAGGTTCATTTCTACCTGTATTTGTGTAGTTGGTATATTAGGTTGCTGGGAAAGTCATGGCGTATTTTTCTGTGTTTTTTGATGAAAAAAATGTGTCATGACTTTCCCCATGATTCAATATTTAAATGTTAAGTGTAGAACTTGAAACATTATGCTGACTATGTCAGCTTCTCATCATCTGTGCATCTTATAAGCCTGCCTTTCCTGTTATGTAATACTGGAGGGAAATACAGTTGTTCAAGTGGAATTGAGCACACAGACCAAAACACTTGAAAAACATGCCAGTTAGCTTTGCGGGTGCTTCGAATTCTCCTGACAGGATAGAGAAGTGGAAGAGGACTGCAGTCTGACCATGTCTTCTTGGGCCATGCTCTCTCTCTCTCATTTTCTCTATTGAGCTCACATGCTCACTGCCAATAAAAAATAATAATAAGGGACCAGCAGTTAGCGTAATGGCTATGTCACTGGACTCCCATGTAGTCGACCGCAGTTCACGTCCTGGACCCGGTAACTTATAACTCACGCCGGGCACATGTGCTTGCGTGCCCAAGATCCCGAGAGGAGAATGGAGGAGAAGGGATTGCGGCGTGGCCATCCCCCCTGGGGGGTGATTTCTCGCTTTCTGTCTGTCTGTCTGTCTGTCTGGCGAGTGCACGTGCCCTATAGCAAAAACCTCTCCAAATAATAATAATAATAATAATAAGTATAGCTTATTGTACACTTCGTGAATCCTCACTTGACATTTTTCCTTTCCTCTTAATAATTTTAACTTATGCTGTGAAAAGGACTAATTTTTACAGTGACCTCTTTTCTTTTAACTTTTAGACTACTGTGTTCATTGTTCGTTTCTAATCTGATAGATACTATTTATAAAGGAATTGAACCTTTTATGAGGGAAATTATTGCTGAAGAAATAAAATTTAGCACATGTTGAACATAGGTTTGACCCTATGCTTAACAAAAGGAGGTTTTTGGTCGTAGTTGTAAAACCCTTTGGGCATGATATTAATTGACTTTGGAAATTAATTTAAAATGAAACTTCATTAGGCAGCATTTATATTCTTTCTGCTCTAAATCCTTTAGTGAAAACATATGCTCTTTACTCAGAAACTGCATACTGAAGTTTTATTGTTGAAAACTGTCTAGTAGTATGATTTTAAATAAACATCTCTTCCCTTAAAGAAATATTTTATGTTTTGCAAATACAATTTTTAATTTTTTTTTCCCCACAGGCAAGGAAGAGAGAGGGAGACAGGCACCTCCAACAGGGTCCATGTTCCACAACCCACCCCTTGCTTTAGCCAGGCCCAGCCTGGGTGCCTGTACTCTGTGTGTGTTCAGAGACATCTCTGGATGAGAACCTGCAACCTTCCCTTGGTGGCCAGCCTTGCAGAGCATTACACTGTAGCTGTCCCACCATCCAGCCCTCTATTTCCCAGAAATCTTGAGGTCACTGGTGAATACTTTTAGTTCTAAGGATGCTGTGCCACCATCCGGTCCTGCAAAACAAAAACAAAACAAAAGATAATTAATTCTTTTTTTAAGAATTATTTTAATTTTATTTATTCTTTCATTTATTTTAATTTGACTAAAGAGAGAGAGAGAACGTGAGAAAGCAAGCCACCATGTGTGAGAACTTGAACCATGGTTGGCCATACAGGAGTATCCACCACGGCACTTGCTGGTCCCAATATTTATTATTCTATAGTTTGTACTAGACTAGAGTAACAAGACTTTGAGACCTTTAGAGTCAGTACATTTTTATGCTTCTGGACTCATTTATTTAACAAATCCATGTGTAGTATTGTGGATATACCAGCGTAAGAAAGACATTAGCCCTGCTCTCAAACTTCCAGCCTAGTGGAAAAGACACATTGGACAGGAGTAGTTAGTGTTGTTAAAGGGAAGGTGTGAGAACTGAGTGGATGCGGAAGTCACCTTATTTGTGGAAAGCCATTGGCAAAGACCTCTCTTACAAGGTGAGAGCTGCAACCTAAAGAATAACTAGACTTTAGGAGAGAGTGGGGCAAGATGTACAAGGCAGAGAGATCAGTGTGAGAGAGTGTGCCGGCCAGGGGAGAGAGCGTGCATAGTGACTAGGGCCACGTAGTAAGAGGTCTTGAAGGATTTTGACTTTATCCTGAAGACTTGGGAAAGCTGTCAGTGGGAGAAGATCAGATTTGTGCTCTCAGCAAGACTGAAGAGGAGTGAAGTGGGGCAGAGTGGAAAATAGATTAGTGGGAGGTTTGAGCATAGCATTTTGCAGTAGTCTCTGCAAATGATGAGGATGAGTGCTTTGGGAGAACTCTGGTAAATGCTGTATTCCGAGAGACTGCTAAAATAGCCCAGTGAAAACTGTGTGAATGAAACAAACAAACAGACCGTGCCTCTTTAAGAAGTATAAAGTTTGGGGCCGGCAAATGGCTCAGTGGTTAAGGTGCTGGACTCTCATATTTCTCACTACAATTCGAGGCCTGGATGTGGCAGTTTCACAATCACACCAAAATCACACTGTGTGTGTTTGCATGCCCAAAATCTCGAGTGGAGAATGGAGGAAAAGTAACTGGTGTGGCTGTCTTCCTGGGAAGTGCTTTCTCGCCTTTCCTCTTTCTGTCTTTGGTGAGCACACACATCTTATGGAATAAACCTTTTAAAAAAAGAAAGAAGTGTAAAGGTTTACTTGTGTGTGCATAGATTTTTGTTTTTGTTTTGTTTAGTTGTCAGACGGAGAGAGGGAGGAAGAAAGCACTCTCTTACGGGGTGTGGTCACACTGCAATCCCTTCTCTCCATATCTCCATCCTGTTGGGATTTGAGGCATGTGCACACACGTGCCTGGTATTTTTGTCAATCTGCCAAGGCTGTGGTTTGAATCACATTTGGCCTTGTGGGACCCATCTCCCTTAACCAGTAGACTATGGGGCTGTTTCTGTGTATGTACTGTTCTTGAATCCTAATTAAGGATCCTGAATTTCACTAAGGATCCTTATCCTAGAAATAATAAATATCTGTTAGGAAGTCTTTTTACTTTTTTTCCTCTTAGGAGGGGGCATCCCTTGTTTATTTTATGAGACTTTTTAATACCCAGTTTAAAAAGGTTTTGGATATACTGATTTTAAACCTTTTTTTTTCTTTTTGTTTTAAATATACCAAGTTATCACTCTGAAACCCCTGACTCTTAATTAACTAGCTAAGGCAGGGAATTCAGTCTGCTCAAATGTTAAATAGTGTCATTTAAAATTTGGAAGCCTAAAGCAAGATGGTAAGGCTGCGATGACCATAGTTGAGCCAAGTGAAATGTTTTTGAGTAGTAAAGTAAGCTTGTAAAATGAGCAAAATTCCAGGGAGTATCAAAAATGGCGAAGTAGGTGCCAGTGGTGGTGGCCTGAGGATGAAAACATGGCCCTAGCCAGAAGATTCCTATTTATTTTTATCTCTAATGCTGAAGTTGTGATTCTAGGAAACCTTTTGTACTCCTTGAGTCGCTATTCTCTTCCAGGAGGAGTACAGACTTTATGTCGTGGATTTATGAGGATATGATACAGAATTTTAGAATTCGGCTTTGAGTTCCTGATGTAAGAAAAGATTTGACTAGAATAGACACAGTCAATGGAAAGAAAAGAGGACAGAAGAGAGGATGCTTTTGTTTTCTGTTCGAGAAGGGCTGGCCCTGTAGGCTAGTGGGTAATGAAGCCAGATCCCACATGGTCAACAGCAGTTTGAATCCCGACTCAGTGACTGGAAAAACATGCCAGGTGTGTGTGCATGTGTGTGTGTGCGCGTGCGCGTGTGTGCGTACGCGCCTGCCCCAAATCCTGACAGGGTGGACAAATAGAGGAGAAGGGATTGTGGCATGACCACACCCTATTGTGGGGTATTTCCTCCTACCCTCCTCATTTTTGTCTCTAGTAAGCACATGCACCATCTGGCAATTTAAAAAGAAAGCAAGAAAGAATAGAAGGTAAGATCATGTTTATAGGCAGAGAAGGAATCAACAGAAAGGGAAGATTATTATAGAAATTCTGTTAATTTAATTTGCAAGAAGGTTGCAAAAGCATACTGAATTATGCCCGTCCAGAGTTAGCAAGACTGAGTTTCAAGGATGTGATCTCCAAGACTCACCTCACTTCTGTTAACAGCTAGAAGGTCAGGATGTTCCCTTTGACTTTGAAAAACTTGAGAAACTCATAGAACTCACTGAAGCTGTACTGATGATTATGGTTTGTTGAAAGGAAGGAAGATAGGTCAAAGTCAGCCAGAAGAAGAGAGCATAGGACAGAATCTGAGAAGGCTCCAGTGTAAATCCTTAGTCCTCCTCCTGGAGTCCAGACATTTTAACCTCCCAGTATCGATGTTGGCAGTATGCATGGAGTATCTCCAGCCAGTCTCTTTTAGAGCCTCACTACCTACCCTTGATTGATGGATTGATTATCCGACTACAGTCTTCAGGTCAGCTGGCATCATGTGACCCAAAGCTGCCACTCTAAATCACATGGTCTTTCTGGCATGCCCAACCTCCTCCCTGAAAGCTGATATGGCCAATTCTACCCTGGGATCTAGTGTGGCCAGCCCTCACCCTAAACGTGGCACTTCTGTTGAATATTAGATATGAAATAGATTGTCCTCGAGAAGCTAGGAGCAGAGATCAGACCTTTCTTTGGGAAAGGCCAGTTTCTTTACTGCACACACACAATTAAAAAGGAAGTCTCCCCCCTTTATTTATGATAGAGCACGAACATGTGAGGGGCATGAGGTCAGTCACTGCAGGGTATAGTCACACTGCTGGTCTCCTTGCTCTGGCCCTTGAGTCCATTGGTTTGTGGGCATTTGTGCACATGCCCGGCATGTTTCAGGTTGACCAGGCTGGGACTCAAAGGGCGGCCACCGTGTAAAATCCAGCTTCTCTCGAGCAGCATATTACTGCTGTGCTGTGGAGCCAGCTCCACAAAGGATTTTGAAAGGATTGTCTTGAATTTTTTGTTGGCACTCATCTTGAAGGGTAGGGGTGGATGCAAAGAGAATGATTAGGAAGATTGCAGTAGTCCAGAGGGAGTGTCAGCTTGACCCCTGCTGGTAGAGGTGGGGAGTAATTAAGAGTCTAAAAATAATTTGAAGGAAAGGAGCAACAGGATTTGTTGATGGGTTGGATGTGTGGAGAGAAAGAGAGGAAGGAGTCCAAGAGTCCTCACGAGATTTTTGGTTTGAGCAGCCGGAAAGATGGAAATCCTGTTACTGCTATCCTATTGTATTGGCAAGCCAGCTGTCCATCATAGGAATTGAATGGCTCCCACCACTGCTCCAGTTCAGAAGAAATCATAAAAACCAGTCCTGTACTGATAACATATTACTACTCATTAAGATAAAGTCATTTTTTTGTGTTCTAGATATTTGAAAATGGCTGTTGTATTTTATAACCTCTATGTCAGTGTTCCAAATGAATAAAAGAACAGCCTATATGATATTTTCACTCTTAAATTGATTCCTCCATAATAATAAAGTTTCCAAACTATATGTGGAAAAATTGATTTTTATTCATGATTGAGAGCACATGCATGCACACATGGGAGAGAGAGCGAAGCAGCCTGGGCGGAGTCTGTCCACACCACTCCAGCTCATCAGGATCCTGGGTACGTTTATGTGCTCCAGGGTATTCTGAGTTGACTGGCCGGGGATTTAAGTCTGCTTTGGCCATGTGGTCTCCAGCATTACAGTCCAGTATACCACTGACTGCACCCCAGAGGCTAGGCCAATATGTTTAATTATTTCCAAGTAGAAACAGTAGGAGAATTTCTGACCTTAAAGTTGTTTAAGCTATCGAAACTGGTTACACGTTCAAAAACTGCTCTGTGCTTTATACATGCTACATGCACGAGTTATTTCATATTTCTTCATTTCTAACAGACACCATAGTTTCTTCATGCTCACTCTTGACCTAGTAAATTCATTTATTTGGGTCAACTGAGAGTAGTTACCTAAAAGAACAGCAAATGCTGAACTCCGTGGTTCCTGTAGTCTTTCTTCTACTTTAAAGGTGCTTATTTTTATATAGACTCAGTTTCTCACTGAGATAAACTGAATGTTGGCCATCAGTTATAATCCACCGAATAATGTGGACTAATGTATTGATAGTTGTATTCCAGTTGTAGTTCAGAAATTAGCAGTTAACTTCTTCCACATGAGAAATTTGTGTTAGTAATACTACGCATAGATTCTGGGATCATAGTGAGAAGAGTGAGTACTGAACCATTTGGGTATCACTATCAGTACGCATCTTGTCCTCTGTGACAAATCTGTCAGCAAGACTTTGTGCTATTTTCAAACCCCAGTGACCCAATAATATTTTTGCTGAATTACGGAAAGTGAAAGCAGTTTGTTTAGGACTTTTTAGGAAATTGGAAATTATTACTGAGTGATCATATTTGTTTATAATCATGGTTGAAAGGAATCACTAGAAAAGAAATACTCCATTCAAGAACTAG